TATATATATATATATATAATTTGGACCAATACCAAGAAAACAAGAAGGGAACAAACTTGATGACAAAGAACAGCCATGCACTCTTATAATAGGACATGTGTAAAATTCACAACAAAATTATTTTTGGATCTGTAATCATGATTCATTTTCCCATATAATACTAAATGTTTGAATCCTGCAATTTTTGGTGTATTAAATGTGTATAAATTCAAGTGAAATTGCTTTTATTTCAGCCTAATTCTACATGTGTTTCAAAAATTCAAGTGTAAGTTCTTAGTTTGGTCTGACAGAATTGTTACAATGTAGTTTTACTAATTGGTGATCACTATAATGTCAAAAACAAACTCTTGTAAGTATTAACTTTTGATCAAAGCAGGCTACTTGTACAGAACTAAAAATCAACCCAGAAATGAATAGAGAATTAAATATATTGTTCTTACATTCCTCTTTATGATTACAATGCATGGTTTCATCAGTTGCGTACTCTCCCTATTAACAATATTTTGTACATGTAACACTGTTAAGTTGTTAGCATATATATATTCATTCAAACAGGACTCCAGTTTAGTTACAAGTAGCTCTACTACATGTACACTGTAGGTGGAAACCACTAAAAAAGTGAAAAGTCTGGCTATCATCAAATGCCACTTAAACACATCCTGGTAATGCTAGTATGCATTAAGTTATTTGATCTACTGCTTTCTCAGCATGTGCATCTTTCACAATTTCTACCAGCCTATAATGTAAAATATATATGTATTAATAAGAGGTTGCATTATATATACATGTATAAATATGCATGAAATTTTAATTAATCACAAAAAATAACAACACTGTGTTTCTAAAATGCAGATATACAAGACCTACTAGTTCATATGACAACAGTGGTTTGATCATTTGCTAATGAAACACAGTTCTGAAAACAGTTATAAAGAAAGTTTAAATATGATTGTACAGAGCAAGAATTAGACAATCACATCATAGTAGAGTATGTACGTATGTGTATATATAAAGGTTTAAAAGTTTTAATACTCTCTGTATTATTTTTGTTTGTGAATTGTGAAAGTGATTGTGTGTGAAATTATATCTGTTTGAAAGCTACAGAATTTGTCTGCAATAGGAAGACATCAGATAACTTGAGATAAGTTAGCTTATACAGTTTAGAGATGGGATAAATGGGAAACAAAGAAAACTTTACTATAATTTTAATACAATAACAAGTGTAAAATGTTTGGAAATTTTTTTGTCATTATCAAGTACAAGTAGCTTATGTGACCATAGTAATGAACCTATCAATTAAGCAATATGCAAATACCACTGTCCAGCTTTAATTCAGGTAACAGGAAGCGGGGAAAAAAAATCTTAATTGTTCAATTGCTTTGTTACATTTCTGCCTGTGCCTTTAAAAAGAGGAGAGCTTGGTTTATATATGCTGATTTTGTTTCCATTATTTTTCCTGTTTGTTATGGAATACCACCTATATTTTTATTTGGTTTTCCACAACTTAATAATGAGTGTCGAATAATATGCTCAGCTGTGGTCAAAGACTGTTTTGAAAACTGAAGTACTATTTTTCATATTTATATAATTTGGCTTGAAGCTAGATTTTAATCTATTTCATGCAGCTGTCACAACACAGATATCTCTGGTCCATCTCAGTTGGGTTCCACTTTCTGTTCTAGTTTAAGTATAGGTCATCTAAGTGTATAAACATATCCCTTAAAAATAAGTTATGAAGTCAGAATGGAAATGTAATTTGTGGAAGCATAGTAAATTTTTTCCCCTTTTAGTAAAAGGCCAGATAGAAAGAATTGATTGCTTTATGACACAAACACACAGGATTAAAGAACAAATATAATGTAAAAAGATAAATCTTAAGCCCAGTTACTATTGAAAGGTAGGTCTTTGCTCCTTAATGAGAAAATTTTACTTTCCCAAAACACTTACATTTGGCAAATTTAAAATTCTCATTTTCACTGCGAGAAACTATCACTTAAAGTATGTACTGTATTACTGCTATTTAATGCTTCAAAATACACAGACACAGCCAAAAATGTTCACACATTAATGCAATTTTTAAAGTAAATGGTTTTTTAAAGGTACTAACTGAAACTTAGCAAAGACCTGGTTTGTTTGTTAGTTTGTAGTTATGTGCAAAGCTACAGAATGGGCTATCTGTGCTCTGCCCACAAAGAGTTATCAAAACATGGTTTCTAGCATTATAAGTCCACAGACATACCACTGTGCACAATTACATGGTTTAAACTGACATTATTTTTAGGTCAAGACCCAGCAGCTGTACATCAGTTAAGAGTTTAGCTATTTCAAATGCAAATTTATGAATTTTAAGTAATGATATTACCCCTGCTCTCCATTTACAAGAATTGGCAAACAACTAGTCTTGCAGCAAAACAAAATTTTCTTTGGATCATAGCAACTGCTATGCAAGTGTTAAAACGCATTACTGAAGTAAAACCAAATACATCTTTATCTTTACAATCACTACAACTTGGGAGCAAAATTGATCTAAGAGATTATTTATTTTAAGAACCTCTCATGTCACAATTTAAATTACTTAACAGAATTAAGTCTCATACTCTGATGCCTGAGCTAGCCAAGCTGGTGCTCAAATCACACTGGCATCTACAAGAAAATGTTGTTTGATATATAGGGAATAGCATGTATCCCCCCCCCCCCAAACAAACCCTGGAGTTAATTTTGATTTCACATATATTAATAAAATATACTTGACATAATACACTAGAATATATTAGTGGTTCTAGAAACCCAATGGACTCAACTGATGACACTATTAAGAGTGTGGCATAATGCTTAATCCATCAACCTTGTGTGTTGAAGATACCTAGTTTGATCTTGTAAGCATCAACTCAGATGCACACCTGCCTTTATGCTCAAAAAAGGGCATAGTTCAGAGATATAATATACAATATAATCATGAGTCACATTTACTTATATGTACAATATTACACACAACTAGTTGGGAATATTGAGATATGTTCATAAGCGGAATACCTTACAGATGTCTGGAGCATTTATGGTTTGTATGCAGTGACCGAGTTTTTTGTTTGTTGTTGTTTTTTTGGGGGGGAGTGAAAAATGCTTACCATTTGGCAAATAGCTGAACTACGATTTAGTATTTGATCACTGAATGAACTTTTTTTTTTCTCTATTTAAATAGAAGAACATGTTACATCATTTTATAAAGGAAGTAGTCATTCTCTGCATTCATTAGAAAAGTACAATACCAACAAATTCTATGCATTAGCCATCTTTCTTCAAGTTTCAGCATATTTAGGTTAGCTCACTTTTATGAATTAACAATTATAAATGTAACATTTTGTGTTTATTTTCAGTCACAGAATCATACCGAGTGAGGGCAATTTAGGTAACTTGGTAGTCCAAAGTTTAAGCTCTGTCCTCAAACACGTCACAAATCACAAAATAAAATATATTACCTATCTTTATATGCTTTGATCATTACTGCTGAATTTAGTTCTTTTAATCAGTACACTGTAGTTCAATAAACTGCATGTTGTCACATTAGGCCAAGTAAAAAAATGAAATGTATGTTTAACATCCCCATCCACTTCTTTTTTGCAGCCACCTCTCCCTACTTTTTTGGGGAGAAGGCAGTTTTTTCCTTTTTGAATTATCATTCTTCGACCATACAAATAAACAAAGAAGACTTCTAAATAAAAATCTAATAAATATAGTTGATTCATTTTGCCCTTTTTCTTTTTCATAAATTCAGTAGAGTTTTGATGAAAAAATGAAACAAATAAGACTTCTAATGGTTGGAGACGGCATGAATGAGTAATGAAAAAAAACTTTAATATAAGTTTAACATAACAGCAAATGTACAACGTTTCGTCATCATCATCATGATTAGTCTCAAAGTAGGTTCCTTGTCATCGAATTCGAAAATAAGACTTCTGTTTACATGAACCCCTTTGAAAACAAGCAACAATCAAGAAAAAAAGGTGCAAACTTTCTTTCAAAAATGTCATTTTAAAAAAAAAAGGGCCTCCTCCTTCCGTTTTTCGAAAACTCGATACACTATACATTTTTTTAACTTGGCCTTACTACTACAATTTACAGTTACTAGTTCGTTAATAAGCTCTTTGATTTTCATATTGAACCTTGAAGTTATTTCAGCCTGAAGACATAACAGTGAAAACATTTGATTTCATTTTAAAAAGTTATTAGATTTTATCATTTTTCTAAAATTTAGCTAAAATTAATTTAATACTGTCCAGCCTAAACAAGTTTTGCTTTTTATTTTAATTACTACTACTACTACTACTAGCACTAGTGACTAGGCCTAAACATAAATTTATTTACAGCAACTCGATCAGGATATTTCTTTCTTATTTTTTCCCCCTCGGCTCTACGCTTTTCGAAAGGGTGCTCTTCTTTATACTGCCACTTCATTTGCAAGTAAAAAATTGCATACGTAGAATTATAACAAATAATGTAATCTTTTTCATAAACTATAATAAACACTGCGCACTTTTCTACCGTTTCGTGTACTTCGCTACGAAATATACTAGTTCGTCAGACATTCGCAAAAGAAAAGGTGGCGTAAAAATATACATACATATTAAACAGAAATCTTTAGTTCATAAAGTATTAAATATAGTTTATTGTTTTCATTGAGAATTGTTATCTGCACTGGCTGTCCCTAATTTAGCATTGATAAATCAAAGCAGCTAATCAACACAACTTACCGCCAGCTCTTGGGCTACTCTTTTATCAACAAATAGAGAAGTTGACAGTCATAACTTATTTAATTTCTGTAATGCATATTGGTGTATGGAAAACATATTAATACTAGAAATAAACTGCCTTATAACACCAAAGTGTTGTTATTATTTAATTAGACACTCAACTTTTCGTTTTACAGCTTCTTCAGGAGTGTTCACCAAAGCACAAACTAAAACCAACAGTACAAAGATTCAAAGATTTAGTATTGTTGCGTCAGCGAGGTCACATGACTAGTATCACGCCACCTGTTTTCTAGAAATATCC